GGCTCCGTGATGGGCTCGTCCACCCCCGGACGACTGTTCTTTGATTGCTATTTGGCGATCACCACATCGGGATCACGCTCCTGACCGCGGCCGCTGACTCCCATTTTCACCGCGGCATAGAAGCAGCTTTTCGCCAAGGCTTGATTACCCCGGATCTCCATTATGCCCTGCGGTGTCAGAAACTTTATCTTCTGGTGGTAGAATGAGTGAACCACCTTTATTGCATGCAACCACGATTTTCCCATAATTGCATTGTAAGAGGAGTCGGAGTCTACCACCACAAATTTCACTGGCGTGGCCATCACCCCCGCCCGTACCATGAGAGTGATTTTTCCAAGGGGCAGGGCGCTGGAACCGTTGAAGCTGATGAGAGGTGTTTTTACAGGTTCCAGATCCTTCTGGGAGAGTCACATCTTGCAGAAGAGATGATCGTACATTACCTCTGAGGAGTTGCTCGAGTCCACCAGTATCCTCTTAACGTCGAACTTTTTGATCTGCAACGTGATCACCAATGTATCCTCATGGGGGACGACCACACTGCCGAGATCAGCATCCGAAAATTGGATAACCTCGGCACCGTTCTGTGGCCTCTTGGGCGGCCGCTCATCACCCCTTTCGTCCACCCTAACTGCTTGAGAGACCCTTTGCAACTCAGCGCGGAGGGAGTTGTATGTAGGCCTCTCTACTGTGCAGGCATAGATAACATCAATCACGGGTGCTACCTCAGTTGGCACCTCGGCTTGCTCCCTCGCCGACCCTCCGGGACGACCCCTATCGATGAATTCCCCGAGATGTCTATGTTGCACCAATTGTTCGAAGGACTTATAAGTCTTGCACTCCTCTGTCAAATGGCCGATATCCCTATGATACGAACATCGGAATGTCGGATTTTTTATCGATGGGTCTCCAATCATCCTCGGGGGCCACCTGAAGTAAGGTCTGTTTTTAATTTTGGGGAGTATCCTGTGAATGGGCTCGTTGAATACCGTGTTCTTTCCCTTGAAGGATAGGCGAGTTGGGGGTGGAAATAGGCCCTCCTCTTCGGGACGGCTGCTCCCTTTCCCTTTTTCTCGGCACCGTGGCCTTGTTTTCGGGCGCGGCGGACTCTTCCTCTACGCGGGCATATTTGTTAATCCGAGCCATCAAGTCTTTCATGTCCGTCGGAGCCTTTTTGGTCAGCGATTTGTACAAATCATTGTCTCGAGACAGCCCCAGCCTAAATGATGCCGCGGCCAATGCCTCCGAACATGCCTCCACCTTATTCACCTCATCCCAATATCGGACGGCATATTGTCGGAGTGTCTCTCCCCCTTTTCGCCTAAGAGTCAACAGAGCGTCGATGTCCTTTGGTTTCTTACTACTGCTGATGAATCAAGCCAGGAAGAGCTCTGTCAATTGTCTCTAGGACCGGACATTCTCGAGAGCAAGGTTCTCATACCACCTCATGCCGGTGTCCCCTAGGCTCATGGAAAAAACTCAGCACAACACCCTTTGGTCAATATCGTAGATTGACATCAATTGTCTGTACTGCCAAAGGTGGCTCTCGGGGTCGATTTTTCCATCATAGACTTTGAATTGTGGGACGATAAACTTTTTTGGTATCTCGACCTCCCTGATAGCCCAGACGAACGACGAGATAACTTCGTCGGAGTAGACCGCGGGTTCATGGTTGCGCTGAGCGATGAAGGGGACCCGGGGATCCTTGGTTCTCTCCCGTCGAGGCCTTCGGGGTATGGACTCCGCTTGATATTCGGCTGCTCCGACGCCCTCGGGTATCCCTCGGCGCAGATCCCACCTGGACAGGCTTGCCTTCTGGTCCGATTCCGACTTTCCCTTGGAGGCTGAGAACCCTCCTCGGCGGTCACGTCCCTCGGGTGAGTGCCATATCCAATCCTTCCTGGAGGGCCATTGTCAGGCGGGTCTGGACAGGTTTTGACTGGGCACCTGGTCCTTGACCCCTCAACTATACTCACCCGCACTTGATGACTGCTCGAAATTGTCAAGACATTGCTGGGCTTTGGCGTTTTCCCTTTTGAGCTGCCTAATACGTTTGCCCATCCGCTTTTCCACCATCTCCACAATGTCATGGGTCATGAGGTCACGTCCTCCAAGGCCCTGATCCATAGGGAGCGTTCTTTGCGAAGAATGCCCCACCCCATCTGATTGGCCCAATGAGCCCTGCTCCAGAACCATTGGAAGCCGGATGGGCTTTGCGTTCCTAGTCCGTACATCTGTTCCCTCACCCTGAGATCGAATGTTCACCATCAGAGGATCGCTACCGAAAAAAATGCTTTCGTTCCCACAGACGGCGCCAAATTGCACGGGATAATTCATGCAATCGTGTGAGGCAGCGAACTCCCAATCGACGAACTTGAAACAACATGGGTCAGGGAAAACAAAGGGGGCCAGGAGTGTGCCCGACTAATCCCCTCTGAAGCTTAAGTCAGTATAAGATCGAAGGGTTTTGCTCAATGGACTTTTTCTAGTTCGAGTTTGCGTACATTTGTCCATCTTTCTGAGGAATATTTATACCTGAATTAGCAATGATGCCAAAGATCTTCAGTCTCATCTGGACATCTTCACATCTGGCATACCATTCCTCGTGTAGTGAGTGTTTCCTATTCACGTCTCCTCCTATTGAATGCTAGGAAAATTGGGTAAAAGCTCGGCCATCCACCGAGCACTTATGCCACTCCTCGAATAACCAAATCCATCAGGTCGGCTTATGACACCAATTGAGTATTGAATACTCGGCGGAACAGTTCCTCGAGAGAGTTGATGCGTCGTCTTGGTGCATCAGCCATTAATGCTTAGCCATCATGACAATAGACTTAGACTCCCAGAGGGCAGTTGCTTGCAGGCGCGCATTTATTTGCCTTGTCACTATCACTCATTCCGCCATAAATATGAGGTCACATAACATTAAATACGATACCAATTGTCGTACTCGGCTGCTCCGTGTCACCATACCTCGGCTTACCTCTTCGGCATCCTTTTGACTTCCCAACGACTTCATTGTTCCACGTGTCAACCCAGGGCCTGAAGAGCCGCACTGGAGTCCTGCCAGATACTACTAAATAATGAATTAAGGCTTTTAAAGTTAATTTGATATCTTCGTTAATCGACGTTAAATATGGAAGTCAAATGCAATTAAGCAGCTATCAATCAAAGATATAAAGAAATAAGATCGAAGCTTTGTTTGATGGCAAATTATTTGTCTGGAACGAATGTAAGTAGAAATATGTGAACATTTAATTTCTTATAATAAATGAAGCATGGTCAGAGATTCTAAAATAGGCCTGACAATTTTAGATACGATTCGTGAAATCGACACGGATTTAGTGGGTTTGAGTGTAGTCTTAACGGGTTCGAATAGTTAACTAGTTAACTCGACTGACCCGTGAAATAAATGAATCGGTTTTATGTTTAACCTATAAACTCGTTTTAATGCGTTTAATCTGTTAACAGTGGTACTATAATTTTTTTTTAAAAAAGTTAGGTCTATCAGCTTTTGTCTCATTTCACACCTCCCATCTTTTAGACTCATTCAAATTTAGTAATCATTTAATGTTTATTTTTTGTCTTTATTTTTTTGCTCAGCCATGATTTGTTGTTATAGTAAACAAATCAAATATATGTAATATGTAATAAGTTGATGATTTTTTGTATATACTCAAAATATTCTAATATATTCTCTTATTTCATGGTTGACATACAAATTGTATCGGGTAATCCGTTTAATAAATGATTCGTGTATGAGTATGATAGTTGTACTCGTTTATATAAACGAATGGGGTATGGATAGAAGATTTTTTGACACAAACTCATTCCACTCGACACGATTGTCAGGTCTATTCTAAAAAAACAAAATCATTTTTAAATAAGAAAATTTAGTCAAATAATTTTTAGTATACTTAGTTTTCGATAGTGAACTATTCGTATGCACTCTGTTTTTTGGTCATTTTTATGCATTTAAAAAATTCAGCAAAAAATCTAACCCAAATAAATGAAGCTTGAATTTAAGCTAACAAAAGAATATTACAATTAGTTGATAGACAATTAATCAGTTAATTGATCTTGATTGTAAGACATCAAAAGAATTATATTAAGAGATAGCACATGTTTCTTGTGTTATATGAAAACCAGATAAGGCCAAAAAAACTTAGTAAAATTTGAGGTCCTATAAATTCTTTAAGTAATCCTAAAAATATTTTTGCTGAATTTTTTTTATTGCACAAAAATGACCAAAAAACAGAGCGAATACGGTGTCAAGGTTAGTGCCCTATTTCTGATGTTGGGCCTGCCAAGTGCATATGGTGTCAAGGGTCTGCTCTTTGGGTAAGTCGCACAATATTTTTATATGAATTTTATTTAGAAGGAAACCACCATTGTTGTAAGGTTAGGTTGGTTCACGCTAAAATATAAATTTTCCACTTGTCCAAGCAATTATTGAAAGTAAACTAACATAGGGATGATGCAAGCATACCATCATGGATAAGTGTACAATGGGGAATCTCTATCATATCAACTAGTTAACTTAGCATGTGTTCATCTCCAGAAAAATCTATTACCAATACAACCCATTAATATATGAAATCATGTAAGGATTAACAGGCTATAAGTAGGACTAAACAAAACATTGAAAGCATGAAATAGGAGGGAAAAGAAATGAAATTGGAGTTTAACTTGTCGATTTGTCTGCTACCATTCCACAGGTAAGATTAAAGACCTCTCTCTCCTCGAAACTGAAATAGTATTCATCTTAGTTACAGGAAGAACCATGCCCCTAGCGACAAGATCTAATCCATTTTGTTCTTTCCTTACCTACAATGCTTTACAATAGTAAGGAGCACTACTCCCACTCATAAGTAACATCTAGAAAGAAGGATTGAGATGGATACTTCTAATGCCTTATCAATGCAAACGATAAATAACAGACCGGAGCACAAATTTGGAAACCTTCTGTTTCTTAGTTGTCATAAAATTAAGTCAGCCCTGTTCTATTCACTTTTCCTTTCCTTCATCCATTCGATAAAATTGCTGATTTTTTTTTGCGAATGACCACCTTCTTTGACTCCATTCATAGCCTTTTCTTTAAGATCCAAGGCCCTTGCTTTGAATGTTTTATCACCAATGAGTTGCTCCACTTTACTCTTAATCTCTTCATGATTGATGATACCTTTTTCATCCTGATTAAACCCTAGTCCGACCTTCCAAACATCACAAATATAGCTCTGGCTAAGAAACTGGTCCGCATAGTAAGGCCAACACAGTAAAGGGACTCCGTTGCTTACACCCACCATGGTAGGGTTCCATCCACAATGGCTTAAGAAGCAAGCGATAGAAGGAAGTTCTAAGACGTTTTGTTGAGGTGCCCAACCCACCATTCGTCCTCTAACACCTACTCTTTCTATGAATCCTTTTGGGTATGCGTCGGTTGCCTCCTCAGTCATATCTGGCCGCACAACCCACAGAAATGGTCTGTTGGTGAGTTCAAGCCCTAGAGCCAATTCGTGAAATTGGTTCTGGTCAAAAACTGTGAAGCTTCCAAATGCAACATAGATTACTGAATGGGATGGTTGTTGATCGAGCCATCTCAGGCAAGTACAGTCTTCTTGCCAGAAGTAGCCAGTCGATTTTCCAAGCCGTTTGTTGGCCAATAATGGGCCTATAGGTAAGATGCTTGGAAATAAAGTAAACGTTGCAGACTCAAAATCATAATTTGAGTTGCATATTACCCAGTCTACCACTTTTATTGATTCATTATTTTTTTCCACAGTTTCAAAAATTATTTTTTGTGTGGTCAAGTCGCCGATGCAGGCCCAAGCTAAATTTGCAGTGTTCACGGAGGGCATGCTTGGTGACAACTGTATCATCTGGTTCTTCATGGGAGTTCCTGCAATGGAAATTTCCAAGAAATAAGTAGCTCTACATGAATTCTTAATCTATTCTATATCCATTGTTGTTGCCGCAGAGTGAAAAGTTTGTGATAGAATGCCTCACCATTGTTGTTTATGATTCCATCATTAATCAGGTTTCGAGCACCGAGTCCCAAGGCCAACATAGCAGCTGCTGCAGGCCAGAACACTGCTCGCCTGATTCCCATCTTCGCTGCAACTTCTAATGCCCATCCTATACTCTCGTCAGCAATAACACAGGTGATTTTATCGTCGCCTGATTCATTAATCCTTTCTATGAGCTCCTGCAGCTTCCTAGGCATCTTTAGAATAGTTATTTGTTTTTTTTAATGTTGTCGTATCTTAGTCTGTTTGTTTTCTTTTTATCCTACTATATAAAAACCTCTTATATAGTATTTTTTCTATAATGTTGTTCTAACTTATTGTGCCTCAATAATATTCTCTTCTTCTTTCTCTTACTTTTCTATGACTGATCAAAGTTAATATGTTATCAGAGCCAACATAGTTCTAAGGGCTGTGAACAATACTGAAAATACTGTTCACTAGGTGAACAGTCTCGAAGTTACTGTTCACGTGCTATGAATATTGTTCATGCTATGAACAGTGCCGAATTTTGATTTTTAGTGTCGTTTTTGTTGTACTGTTGTGTAAGAAACCTTCATTTGTTATGGGTATTTGATTTGCAAAGTTGTTGAGTTGATTTGTGGCGAACTTTGAATTATTTGGCGTTGGCTACTTCTTTTGGTTCTAGTTTCTGCTCTTGGCTTCTGCTGATTGGTTTCTATTCTAGGGAGGTCTCTCTTGACTTCGCTGGTGCCTTCTTCTTTCTGTTTTGTGATTGAATTTGTGCTCCCCTATGTGTCGGCTAGTTGTTTTTGTGCCTTCGTTTCTAGTTCTAGTTGTTGGGTTTGCTGCCTCTTCTCTTCTACGGGTGCTTCTTGTTGCTGGGTCTTCCTCGCTGAACTAATTGTTGCTGGTGGTTTTTGTTGGACATCTCTAATCTTTTGGGTTTGTTGATTTGAGCTTCTTTCTGTTGAACTACTTGGGCTGTTGTTTTGGCTTTTCATCTTTGTTTTGTTGAGCTTTATTTTGTTAGGCGTTATTGCTGATGGTTTTTGTTGAGCAATCTCAATCCTTTGAGTTTGTTGATTTGAGTTTCTTTCTGTTGGGCTGCTGGTTTGAATTTTCTTCTTTTCTTTGTTGAGCTTTGTTTTATTGGGCATTATTACTGATGATTTTTGTTGGGCTTTGGTTTTCTATTGGACCCCTCATTGCTATTTAGACCTTAATTCGTTGAGCCTACACTTGAAGTATTTGTTGATTTTATTATTTTCTTCCTCTAAGTCTCTGGAACTTCGTGCTTACTCTGATGCGGACTGGACTAATGATTTTATGGATTGCAAGTCTACTACTAGTTCCTTGGTGATTCTCTTATTTTGTGGAAAAGTAAGAAACAAACTGTTGTGGTTCGATCATCTGTTAAAGCTGAGTATTATGCTATGACCTTCACAACAGCAGAGACAGTTTGATTGCGTTGACTACTTGTTGATCATTTTCTTCTTAACAAACTCTTAAGGTGTGTTTGTTTGGAAGGATAAAGGTGGATATCATAAGTTGGATTGGATAAAAATAACCGGGAGCCCACATATCCCAGCTTTGGGTTCTCCAAAAAGGATTAGTTATTTGTTGGGCTTGAATTACTTGGCCCGTATGACATAGGCCAGCTATCCCGCTTGATCTGGATACATGAAACCCATGTGGACTTTGGGATTTGTAAGCCTATCGGCTAGATAACGAAGAAAATGACTAAATTGCCCATTAAACAGGAACGGTAGGTAGAGTTTCTACCCCTTCCCCTTCCCTTTCAGCTGCTAGTCCCTCCCCTTTGACAAAAGTGCCTCCTGTCCCCTTCAGCCGCCGGTAAAAAATTTCTCTCTCCATGGTCTCTCTATCTCTTGCCTTTGTTTTTTTTATGCATTAGTTGCATAATTTAAGGTGGTATTTTGGCGTGAAGCAGTAGATGCTTCCAAGAAGAAAATTTGAAATCGCCTCATTTTTTTTCCGTTTGAACTAGGGAGAAGGGCCAGTTCTGAAGCAAGTGCTCTTTGATCAACTTGGCTTGTACTGATTTTCCGCTGTGTAAGTCGAAGTTTCGACACATTTCTGTAGCATGTGAGAGTAAGTTCGTTCTTCATTCTCTATAGCCAAGTTGTTGTATGAGTATTCTGAAGTTGAGGTTGTAATACAAGACCTAATTGAATGGAAAGAAATTGCAAATGGAAGTGGCAGCTTGTTGAGTTGTCTGAGTATTTGTGTTTTTGTGCAGGCTTCATTGCAAGTTTGGCAGTTTGAATTCTTCTCACGTGAGTTGATAATTATTGAAAGAACTGGGGCAGGAAAATAAATTCTTAAGATTGTGGGAAAATTATAATGAGAGCCCTCTGTTTTGTGCTAATTTTACTAGAATCCTGGTTCTGAAATTATACTAATACCTTTTTAGATGTGAGAATATGTCAGAGTCCTCCTTAACTAATTGACTATTAAATAACAAATTTGTTCATATAAGCTCACCTGCAACATTAAAAATTGAATAATAATTATGTGATATTTTTATTTTTTTAATTATATAATTTAAAATTAAAATGGACGAAGAGAAAATAAGATAAAAGTACATGAGAGATAATAGAGAGATAGGTGTGGATTAATGAGATTATTTAACATTGGGGAGTGTGTTTGTTGAGTTGTCTAATGTTAGGCCCGCGTAAACTTGTATTATAAAATCAACGTGTAATAACATGTATTTGGTGAATACATAAGTATTTCTATATTTTTTACAATATTAAATTAGTAACCAATAATGATCAAAAAGTAAAAAAAAAAAATTTTTAAAAAATGATAACCAATAATTGTGAAGCAAGGAGATAGAATTGGATAGGATTCAAGCGTAAAATGGTCAATTAATGTCAAAAGTATTAGATGTTTAATAAAAAATTGTTATTTGTCCATATCCCAACCCCCTTCATAATGCATTATCCAAAGCAGAGATTGAATAACTTAATTTTCTTTTATCTCCTTATATATATGGCCTAAAGAGATTTCACTGGATTGGTTTGAGATTTAAATCCAATCTAGTCTAGTCCATCCATGAATTGCCAAACACATTCTTAATGTTTTATGCTACCACATTATGAGTTTGATAGAGGGTGTTAGAGTAGTTAGCATATTTAGTCTAAAGGTTAACTTAATCATTTGATTTTGTTTTAGGTTACCCTAATTTAGTCTGTTTATTTTTTTTTATCATACTATATAAATAAAGACCTCTTATATAATAATTTTTTTTTATTATTCTTCTGTCTTATTACGTGCTTCAACGATAAACAAATTGGAGAGAGAGAGGGGTTCTGACCCTCTGCCCGGTGAATTAAAAGATCGAGAAAAGAAGTAGAGGAAAGAAGAGTTTCGAAGAAGAGAACACAACCTGGCTGATACTCTGGTACAGTAGAGATCGAAGACGAGATCGACTGTACAGGATCAAAATCAGCTGAAGATATGGACATTGAGGTTGACCACTATGCTGTTCTGGGTTTGCCATCTGGTGAAGAAGGGTTCAAGCTCTCAGAGAAAGAGATTTCAAAAGCCTATCGGTTGAAGGCTTTGGAGTTGCATCCGGACAAGAGACCGGATGATCCGAATGCTGATGCTAATTTTCAAAAACTCAAAACATCTTATGATCCTCAAGGATGAAAAAGCTAGGAAATTGTTTGATGATCTACTCCGAGTCAAACGTGAAAAAGTTCAGCGCCAATCACAACATGATTCCAAGCGTCGGAAAATGATGTCAGATCTTGAAGAAAGAGAGCGAGCCGCTTTTGCTTCTGACCCCACCGTAAAGGTTCGAGATGAAGAAGAGAGGATTGCTAGGAAACTCAAAGAAGAGATTGCTAGAATTTGCGCAATGCATGCAAATAAAGCAGCATTCACGAAATCAACTTTGAAGAAAGAGACACCGCTAGGGGGAAAGGAGAGCATGGATAGTGGGGGGAGTGCATTAGATAAGGAGAAGATGCTTAAGGTATCATAGGAGAAGGCTGGTGGGGATTATGCTTCTCAAAGACTGAGGGATTTGTTTGAGAAGTTTGGTGTGGTTGAAGATGTATTGATCAGGAGTTCTAAGAAGAAAGGTTCTGCTCTGATTGTGATGGCATCTAAAGATGCAGCTGTTGTTGCCACTGGGAGTGTGATTTGGGGTGTCTCAAATCCTCTACTTGTCAAGCCTCTTCAACAAGCTGTTACTCCTGTGTTTCCGCATGGCGAGACATCAGTTCAAAATGATCGTCCAAAGGGAAATTTGTTTGGTGCTGGAAATCAGACGTTTGAAAGATTCAGTTTTGAAGAAGCTCCAAAAGGCTGCTGAAAGGCAAAAGTGATAGCTGACCTCTGAAAACATCAAGACCTTCTGTTTTGATAGCATATGAAAAGTGATAGCATGACCATGAAGATTGCTTCTGTTAACTTGCCCAATTCATTTCTATCCTCCCAGGGTTCTAACCCGTCTGTTAGAGAAACCATATGCACCAGATCATGGGATTTGTCTTTCTCAGACAACGCTTTAATGACCCGCTTGTGATTGAACTCGGTGTTCAGCAATTTTCTTTCATTACTGGCATTATAGTTGCTTTTTTGTTCATTTGCATTGTCCTTTTCTACTGCCCTCCTTGGTGATTGCCGTCCTTAAGTTTTATCGACCTCAGCTGTATTTAACCACGTTTTTATTTGTGTAATTTTGTTCCTTTGTTTATGCAGTATAATGTGGCTATATGTCATTTCCCTAGAAGGAAAGAAGTTGCAGGTTACAATTTCACTTTTGCAGCTTCTCTTGCTTGTCTCTTTCATTCCTTCCAAATTTAAAATAACAATGCATCTCTCTTTGTGATCAGCATCAGCGAACAAAAATGTATTGTTCGACTGTTTCATACTAAGATGAGTGTTTGATAACGCCAGATAGGTTGGATGCATTTTCCCCCTAGATTATCTTTCAAAATCTCCCCACCTATTAAAAAATAGACAAATTGTATATTACTTCCCTATAGTTTGACTAATGACATTGCTTCCTTCTTTTTTTAAAAATCTACACATCGCCCACGTAATTTTAGAGGAAATTGGAACCATTAGTAATTTCATTAAAACTAATGGTCAAAAGTTAAAAGTCAATATTAATTAAATACATTATGAAAGTTGATATTCAAATCAGTGTAAAAATTTAAGGAAGAGAAATACTAAAAAATTAAGAAAAGATGAGGTGTTTATTGTCTTTGTTAAACAAAATTGTTTACTCCATCACTTATTCTGCTTTGTTCGAAAACCACAAAGGGTTTATAGTGTAGGTTTCCAAAATATAACAAGGTAATACGTTACATTAAACTATAAAAGTTATATCTGATCTTGCCGTAAAACACTGATTAGGTGTTTGAAAGTATTGAACAAGCTAACTGGGGTTCATTGACAAATTAGATTAAATTTTGAATCATCCTTTGATAAGAAACAACAATTTTATTAATAAATAATATAAAAAACTGGTACAAGAATCAATCAAAAGTGGACCAGTGACCAACCTAATGATTGGTAAAACATAAGGTTAAAAACACCACCACAAAATTGAGTTTAACTCGTTGACTTATCTGCTAGAAAACCCAAACACAAATTTGGAAGTCTCTGATTTTTAATTATAATGAAATGAAGTAAGGCTTGTTCTTAACTACTTTTCCTTTCCTTCATCCACTCGATGAAATTGCTGAAATTTTTCTGTGAGCAACCATTTTCTTTGACACCATTCATAGCCTTTTCTTTAAGATCCAGGGCCCTTGCTTTGAACATTTTATCACCAAGGAGTTGCTCCACTTTATTCTTAATTTCTTCACCATTGATGATACCTCTTTTATCTTGATTAAACCCTAGTCCAACCTTCCAAACATCACAAATATAGCTCTGGTTAAGAAACTGGTCGGCAAAGTAAGGCCAACACAGGAAAGGGACTCCGCTGCTTACACCCTCCATGGTAGAGTTCCATCCACAATGGCTTAAGAAGCAAGCAATAGAAGGATGTTCTAGGACATTTTGTTGGGGTGCCCAACCCACCATTCGTCCTCTACCACCTACTCTTTCTATGAATCCTTTTGGGTATACGTCGGTTGCCTCCTCAGTCATGTCCGGTCGCACAACCCACAGAAATGGTCTGTTGGTGAGTTCAAGCCCTAGAGCCAATTCGTGAAATTGGTTCTGGTCAAAAACAGTGAAGCTTCCAAATGCAACATAGATTACTGAGTGGGATGGTTGTTGATCAAGCCATCTCAGGCAAGTGGAGTCTTCTGGCCAGAAGTAGCCTGCCGACTTCCCAAGCCGGTTGCTTGCCAATAATGGGCCTATAGGTGAGAGGTGTGGAAATAAGGTAAACGTTGCTGACTCCAGGTCATAACTCGAGTTGCAAATCACCCAATCTACTGTTTTTGATGATTCAATATTTTTGACCACAACTTCGAAAATGATTTTTTGTGCAGTCAAGTCGCCGATGCAAGCCCATGCTAAATTTGTAGTGTTTATCGACGGCATGCTTGGCGACAACTGAATCATCTGGTTCTTTATGGGAGTTCCTACAAAGGAAATTTCCAACTGATTAGAAACTGTCTAACTGGATTCTTAATCAATGAGGGTAGTAGGAATAATAATTTTCAACATAACAGTAATGGTACTTGTTATTGTTTCTACAACAACTAGTACTACTAGGTTGGTCTCCTAGAGGCAAAATGGTATCTCAATTGCTTTACTTGTCGCTTGATTCTCATTGTTGGACCTAAATTTTGATCAAATAATCGCTAACCTGTGACGAAGTTGAGTTACTAGATTATCTTAGACACCTTAAGTCTATACAATTTGTGCATCATCTTTTTCTTTACCCTCATGGATACATCGTGCTAAATTCTTCTCTGGATTCATTGTGTTGCATTATTGCAACCGTGAATGTTTAATGCAGCGTAGAGTTAATTTATAATGTGTCATGATTCATGAATAGTCTGCGACTTCTTAATTATATGCAAAGAACATCCTTGGACTTACTACCTAATTCATGACAAATTTCGAAGTTATTGTACTAGTTGTCCTTGCTAAAATAAGTCTTGTAACCTGAGGTTGCATCATCCTCAAACTGTGAAAAATTATTGCATACTAAATTTCTAGTGTATTCTACAACAAAAATGTTGCGGAAGATAGAAAATTTATTGACAGAATGCCTTACCATGGTTGTTGATGAATCCATCATCAATTAGCTTTGGAGTGCTAAATATTAATGCCAACGTGGCAGCTGCTGCAGGCCAGAAGACTGCTCTCCTTATTCCCATCCTCTCCGCCACTTCCAGGGCCCATCCCATACTCTCATCAGCAATAACGCAGGTGATTTGATCGTTTTCCGACACAGTAATCTTTTCTATAAGCTCCTGAAGCTTCGTAGGCATGACCTTAAAGATTGATTCTGTTAACTTGCCCAACTCATTTCTATCTTCCCAGGGTTCCAACCCGTCCGGTAAGGAAACAAGATGCACCTGATCTTGCACAGAGTCTTTCTGTGACAATGCTTTCATGACTCGATTGTGATTGAACTCGGTGTTTATAAATGTGACTTTGAAACCATGATTGACTAAGCATAGGGAGAGCTCTAGCAATGGAATTACATGACCTTGTGCAGGGTAGGGTATGGCTAGAACATGTGGGTTGCCCATCTTTGTTCTTCTGCCTTATTACTTGCAGGTAGTTTTTTGGAACTCTGAAGTTCATGCCCCTTTTATAGTACTTGTGCAACTCAAGGTCCAGTCTATGCTCGAGGTTGAAAATCTATTTCTTCTTGTCACTTTTTTCCATATCTGGTTTAGTCTTGCCTGTCAATATTACTTACTGGCATTATAGTTGTTTTTTTTTCACTTTTCTCCTTGGCATATCGAGCCTAAAGTTTTAGGGTAAGTCTACGGTGCCGAAAAATGATTCAAAATTTTAGATTCTAATTTAATGTATCTGTAGTCATTAATCGAAAAAAATAATAAAATAAAAATATCTGGTCCAAATTGACCTTTGTTGTTCGTATCATCGTATTTTATTTCTGTAACTAAATGTCTTTTTTTTTTTTTTTTTTATTGCATTACAATGTACATATCTCTTTTGTCTCTCTCATTCTATTCAATTTAGGACAGCTATGGAAAGATTTTTCTATGCGGTTGAGCATAAGTAAACAATTTTGACAGTGTCATACTACACTAGGTTTGAAGCCTTCAAGCCTACTCTGTGGACCAGCAACCATGGCTGATGGCTGTCACAATCCTAACTATTTATTTTGGTTATTTTTTTTCCTTATATTGTTTATCATAGAACCAATGATAGAGATTATGAATATATTTTTGGGTAAGTTATAGATTACTGAGTTGAACACTAATTTTTTTGGTTGGCCACCTTTTTGTATAGCTGTATATATGGATTGCACACAGTACAAAAATTCGACTCAAAATGGACACGAAATTAGTGGGTTATGATTGACAATTCTTGGCACGAACCCGTATAAAACAAGACCTGTTAATACGAATAATAGATGGGTTAGATTAATATTAAACATGAATAATACGAAATTGACACGATTAACATTTTTAAGTAGTATTATAAGAATAAAATGTTAATTTTTTTATTATATTTTATTAAGTAGCGACATAATTCTTGTACCAAAAAAAAAAAAGATAACTCTTATGTTTATTTTGTTATTTTTTAGTTTATAGAAAAAGTATAAGCATGAGTTCGATTAAGTGATATTGAAATTTTAGATATAAAACTAAGAGTTAAATTTTTTATTAACGGGTTAAATGGGTCAACATGAATTTGACATAAAAATAAATAGATTGATATAACACGACACAATTAATTAAATCAGTTAAATTATAGTTGATTAGTACCCGATATGAATCTGAAATGACCAGACATAATTGTCACTTTAATTGTACCTCCGATTAATGCTCTTTTGCTGAAAATGTGCTCGTAAAAGATTATTAAGAACTACTGTTTTTAAGACAATAACATTAGAATTGTGGTTTTGATTTATTAGTGAGTTTTACATTGCCACCATTTTGAGAAAATCGTGGTTTCATCTCTAAGTTTACAGACACGTTTCTCAAGTGTAAGAAAATAATGTGTTACATAATTACACCAACTAGATTTAATCTATAATTGGCCCATAAAAAAAAATAAAAAAAAATGGATTTCGTGTTTGAAAATTGACCAATATAATTTTGGTAGATCGACCAGTTAGATAAAATTCTTTTGTTTTTGGGTCAGGAGTTAGATAAAACTTTGAAGCAGCCTTTTGATCTGAATAAACCATAGAAAGAAAGAAAGAAGGAAGGAATGGGATTAATGGTCTATGTTTCAAGCTGATTGATTTCATGTGAGGGTTTTCTTCCACTAGTTACGGCTTGAAGCCTTCAAACTTGCTGTTTGGACCCGCAACAATGGCTATCACAATCCTCACTAATTATTTTGATTATTTGTTCTTCTTAAATTGTTTCTCATGGACGCAATGAAAAATTATTGACTTTAACAATCTTTTATTTTGGTATATTTTTTTTTNTTATGCATTAGTTGCATAATTTAAGGTGGTATTTTGGCGTGAAGCAGTAGATGCTTCCAAGAAGAAAATTTGAAATCGCCTCATTTTTTTTCCGTTTGAACTAGGGAGAAGGGCCAGTTCTGAAGCAAGTGCTCTTTGATCAACTTGGCTTGTACTGATTTTCCGCTGTGTAAGTCGAAGTTTCGACACATTTCTGTAGCATGTGAGAGTAAGTTCGTTCTTCATTCTCTATAGCCAAGTTGTTGTATGAGTATTCTGAAGTTGAGGTTGTAATACAAGACCTAATTGAATGGAAAGAAATTGCAAATGGAAGTGGCAGCTTGTTGAGTTGTCTGAGTATTTGTGTTTTTGTGCAGGCTTCATTGCAAGTTTGGCAGTTTGAATTCTTCTCACGTGAGTTGATAATTATTGAAAGAACTGGGGCAGGAAAATAAATTCTTAAGATTGTGGGAAAATTATAATGAGAGCCCTCTGTTTTGTGCTAATTTTACTAGAATCCTGGTTCTGAAATTATACTAATACCTTTTTAGATGTGAGAATATGTCAGAGTCCTCCTTAACTAATTGACTATTAAATAACAAATTTGTTCATATAAGCTCAACTGCAACATTAAAAATTGAATAATAATTATGTGATATTTTTATTTTTTTAATTATATAATTTAAAATTAAAATGGACGAAGAGAAAATAAGATAAAAGTACATGAGAGATAATAGAGAGATAGGTGTGGATTAATGAGATTATTTAACATTGGGGAGTGTGTTTGTTGAGTTGTCTAATGTTAGGCCCGCGTAAACTTGTATTATAAAATCAACGTGTAATAACATGTATTTGGTGAATACATAAGTATTTCTATATTTTTTACAATATTAAATTAGTAACCAATAATGATCAAAAAGTAAAAAAAAAAAATTTTTAAAAAATGATAACCAATAATTGTGAAGCAAGGAGATAGAATTGGATAGGATTCAAGGGTATAGAATTGGATAGGATTCAAGGGTAAAATGGTCAATTAATGTCAAAAGTATTAGATGTTTAATAAAAAATTGTTATTTGTCCATATCCCAACCCCCTTCATAATGCATTATCCAAAGCAGGGATTGAATAACACAATTTTCTTTTATCTCCTTATATATCTGGCCTAAAGAGATTTCACTGGATTGGTTTGAGATTTAAATCCAATCTAATCTAGTCCATCCATGAATTGCCAAACACATTCTTAATGTTTTATGCTACCACATTATGAATTTGATAGAGGGTGTTAGAGTAGTTAGCATATTTAGTCTAAAGGTTAACTTAATCATTTGATTTTTTTTTAGGTTACCCTAATTTAGTCTGTTTATTTTTTTTTATCATACTATATAAATAAAGACCTTTTATATAATAATTTTTTTTATTATTCTTCTGTCTTATTACGTGCTTCAACGATACACAAATTGGAGAGAGAGGGGTTCTGACCCTCTGCCCGGTGAATTAAAAGATCGAGAGAAGAAGTAGAGGAAAGAAGAGTTTCGAAGAAGAGAACACAATCTGGCTGATACTCTGGTACAGTAGAGATCGAAGACGAGATCGACTGTACAGGATCAAAATCAGCTGAAGATATGGACATTGAGGTTGACCACTATGCTGTTCTGGGTTTGCCATCTGGTGAAGAAGGGTTCAAGCTCTCAGAGAAAGAGATTTCAAAAGCCTATCGGTTGAAGGCTTTGGAGTTGCATCCGGACAAGAGACCGGATGATCCGAATGCTGATGCTAATTTTCAAAGACTCAAAACATCTTATGATCCTCAAGGATGAAAAAGCTAGGAAATTGTTTGATGATCTACTCCGAGTCAAACGTGAAAAAGTTCAGCGCCAATCACAACATGATTCCAAGCGTCGGAAAATGATGTCAGATCTTGAAGAAAGAGAGCGAGCCGCTTTTGCTTCTGACCCCACCGTAAAGGTTCGAGATGAAGAAGAGAGGATTGCTAGGAAACTCAAAGAAGAGATTGCTAGAATTTGCGCAATGCATGCAAATAAAGCAGCATTCACGAAATCAACTTTGAAGAAAGAGACACCGCTAGGGGGAAAGGAGAGCATGGATAGTGGGGGGAGTGCATTAGATAAGGAGAAGATGCTTAAGGTATCAT